TAACAGTATTCCCATTATTATTGTAAAAGAAATACAGCCTTGTGGAGAATGAGTTACGATTGGAGTTACTAATGCATTGGAAGTGCACAGAATCCAAGGTAAAATGATTAATATATTAAACATAAAAGTAAAATCAATACTCTGCCACCTACTAAGCAAAAAATTGCCTAATCTTAGTGCCTAAATTACTCTAGTAATTTAAAATGCAAAATTACCTAAAGTTTCAGTCACATTGTTTCACATACAAAGTCTTTTAAGAACTTTTTAACATTTGATTTAAATACCCTTGCAATAATTCACCAATTTTCCCTTCGTTCAAAGTGTCATCCAAATACTCATAAATTAACGTCCCAAAAAATATAAAAGAATTTCCAAGAGATTCTGCCTACATAAAACCAAGCACCATCGAATCGCCCACGAATTTCTCGACGCCTCTTTCGAACGATCCTGTACGCGTCCAAGATTCAGTCTCTCGGGACGCTCCTGTTTAAGTCAACCTTGCGGTACACCTCCCGATAAGGTGGTCCACCTGTTGACCAGACTGAACTGAATGAACTCGACGGGGAAATGGGCACGGTTCTTGAAGGAAGCTGTACGATAGTGGCACGATGAGAGCGGGGTGGTGGGAGGTTCGCATTATAGGTGGCGACCCGAGGACCTACATTCACGAGCTTCTCTCCTCGGCGGTGTGTCTGCCTCGTCTCCAAAAGTATTCGTGTCGATGTTGTCGGTTGACTCGCTTAGCCAACGATTCTCGAATTCCGTCGCCGAGATTCCACTGGAGAAATTACGCTCCCTTCTCTCCTCTCCATCTTCTTTCCACCTCCTTCCGTTTCTTTCATCTTCTATCTCTCTCTCTCTCTCTCTCTTTCTTCTGAGTTTGCATTTCTTCTTTATCTCTCTCTGTTTCTTCTTAATTTGCATTTCTTCTTCGTCTCTCTCGCTTCTTCGTTTGCATTTCTCGTGGACGAGCATCACGCCCGCGAACCGCGAAATTGAACGACGTCACGGAGAAAATAGCCTTGACGAACGTCCCGAGAGAGTTGATTAGGGCGTGGGTAATTACAGGATCTCGTTGGACGACGTGAAGTCTTTGTTTAAGGGAGATTGCATGGTTGTTGAAGACAGTTTGATGGTAATGCAGAATGGTTTCGTTTTGACGTCTGCAAATGGGATGCTGTGGAATGAGTATTACTGAACACAGCTTTTAGTCAATTTAAATTGCTGTCTTGTTAGTTCCTTCGAATAAAATATTTCGAACAGGGTTGACAAAGAAATTTGCCGAATTATATCGTATACAATTTATTTCCATGGTAATTAAACAAAATAATGTGCAAAACAAATGAAAATACCCAAGAAAAAATAATTTCCACATAGATAAACGTTAAACTTCAACATCACCAAAGAAATTATTTCAAAAATCCTTTCACGTTCGTTCTTCCACGTACACAAAAGATACGGATAATTAAAAAAATCGATTTCCCTCATTCTTCAAACCAGAACCTCCACTTAATCGGTTCATTAGTTCCGGTCTAAATCCCCAAAACAGGTAACAAGACGTTCATCATCTTAATCGTATAATTTAAAAAAATTGCCAAGCCTCTTCTATCACATCGAAGAAACTGCATAAAAGACACTATTACCTAATTCCACTATTCTCGATAGACACCGTTCATTAACAAAACTCGACCTCAATCGCCGAGGAATTATTCACGCTGAACCTTAATTATGCGTTCCTCGAGTTCCGAATAAACTAAACGCGCCTTCGACATATCTCCGGCGACACCTTGAATTTCACACTATGCCTGCATACATATTTCCATCGCCTCGTCATTCTTCCGCATAGCGCGGACAGGGGTCCACAGGTAAGATGAGAAACACGAAAATACACACAGGTGTACGACGAACTTTCTAATTCGTCGGCACGGATCTGTCTAACGAGCGGGAGGATTAGCGTCGCGTATAATTGGGAACGCAAGGACGCCAGGAGATCGTAAAGCTTAAGCGAGCGTAAAAATGGCCGCTAGAGGAAAATCTATGGCATCTGGCCGCGAGAAGAGGAATCGAAACGCGATTACGATGGAATTGCAATCGTCGAACTGCTCACACGTAGGCACGTACCATCGACGTAAGGTTGAAACGTCTGCCATTACAGAGTACGTACTCGAAACTTTGCGTAATCCTGATACGATTATGCGTGACGAACCGTTTCGCAAGCGCAACGATCTTCTTTCGGCGAACGTGATTCTTTTCTTTCATCTTTTGTCTTTGGTTTAGGATCGCTTTCGATGGAGAGTTTTCGTTCGGTGAGAAGAATGGAGGTTGTTTGTAATTTTGGTTATTTTATTAATTTAGAAATTTGAGGGAATTCTGGTTGGAAAATGTGAAGTAACTGTGTTTGTATAGTGAGCTTTGCAATTGAAGGTGATAGTGAACTACTTAATTAGTGAATATAGGTAGCTTTTTTTATTAAAAATGAAGTGAATAGAATATGGAATATTTCTGAATATTTTCTCACGACGCAAATATTAAAAATTTGAGCGTGAAAGGGTTAAAGAAAATTATTTTCGCGATAGTAACCTTGTTAATTAAAAAATAAAAGTAGCTTTTTTTATTAAAAATGAAGTGAATAGAATATGGAATATTTCTGAATGTTTTCTCACGATGCAAATGTTAAGAATTTGAGCGTGAAAGGGTTAAAGAAAATTATCTTCCACATCCCAAACCCTTCGACCACAGTTGGTACCGATCATTCAGAGAATAATCGTTCTAATATCGACTCTGATAGTTTCGATGTACAGTTAGGTCAATCTAAACGAAAGTGGTCTGCAGGTTCGTGAGTTTGTTAACCTTAAGAACCTTCTTACGTCAAGCAAAGAAAGATTAACATCTCGGATCCGTGTCCAAATTTCTACAAATAAATGTTCCAATGCACCTTTCAAACACCTGTAGGAATATGAATTAAGTGCTCTTTGGTTTTTGATTCAGAAATACAGTTTTATTTCTAAATATACAGCACATCCTTCGTCTTTGACATTCGCTCTTACAATATTCCTCATTTTTTTTTTTAATTTTTATTTTTGCCTTAGTAACTCGTCCATCTTACTATCTACTATAATTTCTTTTTCAATTAATATTTGTTAATCACACGAGTGATTGCAGAGAAAAAATTTTCAAAAAATCCCCGTTCTAGAGGACGAATCCTGCATTACTCATTCTTCCTTCGCTCTTGCCTTTCATACTTACTCGCGATCATGCTCGATCACAGATTCGCACACTCTTGCCACGCACCGAGTTTTAATCACGACATCGCTCTTATCACTCGTGCATTTTCTTTAAAAAAAAGAAACTGTCAATCGATCCAAAACACTCTTTACGATCCGTACTATCTCTCTGCCCAAACATTCTTATCTCATATCCTACACACCTGATAAATATTCACGCACCAATTCGCTCTATCGCCTATTTAAAAACCGTGTCAAAGTGATCGTTTTAATCGTACCTAGCCAAGGGAATGCAGAAGAAAGAGGAGAAACCCATAGACAAATAACCATTCACGTTCAATGTAGAGACTTCGACAAGCCAATTATCCAATACACGGATATTGTGTTTCCATTTGTAACTAATGGTACGGTAAATGATTTTCTAGAAACGTCCACGTAATCCGCAAACCGAAGATTCTTCCTGGCATCTCCGCCTCGATTCCTAGCTTTCTGTTTGACTTATTCGCAAGAAACTCGACTCGTACCTCGGCTAATTTGAAATTCTGATCAATATCGAACATCTGGAATGTATATTCATCCTCTGGCAACGCGTGTGAATGTCAGACAATTTTTTATTTTCCACCAAAATATCGTTTCCCGAAAATTACATTGTTCGAGCATCTTGTAACGCGAATCTAAATTTTTCTAGAATTTCACTGGGATCGATCGATCACATAGGTTGTTCATAATCGTCAGATTACCTAAAAGATCTCGTTCAGTTAGTCGTCTGTTCGCCTAATTTGCAACGAGGCATGGATTGAGTGGCCTGTCCGCGAGACAGATTCGGTTAAGCGTGCGGTAATTGAGAAACGGTGGACAAGAGTGAAAGTGCAATTAACGTTATGAACGAATTTGGAAGGTAAATCGAGGCGATTAGACGTAAGATGGACCAAAAACGGCAATAGTTGGCTTCACAAAGAATTTCGATATTTATCCTTTCACAGAAACGAGCCTTTTTCTTCCATCTGAATTTGGCTAGATATTTTTTCTTCTTTCTTTTTGCCACCATTCAACGATAGAAGAAATGTATATTATCGATTTGTTGCGATGTGACAAGAGTAGTACCCGATAATTTTAGCGAAGCAAAAGCCTCGCTAACTTTCACTCTTATCCACGTGATCAACACTCCCCTCC